AATTAAATAGGTGCTATAAAGCCAGAATAAAAATTGTGCACACGTTGTTTCAGTCTTGTTTTTTGTAATTTGATCATATTTTATTATTAAAACTGTTTTAAACATGTATTTTCCAAACTCTCAATATCTATGTGCATACAATAGCCTCAAAAAGAATTTGGATAATTAAGTCACTTAATTTTTTTGCATTAGATGCAACATCTCAAAACAAATTTCATTTATTTCATAGAAAGATGCACAAAACGTTTGGCATTTTTTTCCGATGTTTTGTTTGTTGAAAATGTTTATTAATTCAATTGGTTAACTTAAGTAAAACCACACACACAAAACATTTTCATTACTTACAATAACCAGAACTGAAATTAAACTTATTTCAGCTCATTTATTTTTCAGTAACTTGATGCACTTAAATAATTCTAAAACTGAAAGAAAAAATAATAAAAACTATATAGAAATGACAAAGACAACAAAATTATGAAGTAATTAGTCATTTAAAATTAAAACGGAAAATATAAAAATAAAAACGAATTCAAAATATTAATAATAATCATAATAGTATCTCAATGATTCTAAAATAGTGGATCATGTCCATCCGGATGTACAGGTGAAACTCGAAAAATTAGAATATCGTGCAAAAAGTTCAGTAATTCAAATTAAAAGATGAATCTAATATAGTTAGTATATATAACTATATACATATGGATGATTATATGGATGGACTTTTCAGAGGGCCGACATTTCTGTATTTAAAATCCTTTTTTTATTGATTTCATGTAATATTCTAATTTTCTGAGATTTTGAATTTGGGGTTTTCATAAGCTGTAAGCAATAATCATCAAAATTATAACTTTTGCACAATATTCTAATTTTCCGAGTTTCATCTGTAGTAGGTCCGGATTACAATCATACTACACACATTCATACTTTTTTAGTGGCTGTGAAGTAATTACTTATTCAAGGACCGACTCAAGAGAGAGTGCACTTTCAGAAGCAGCCATGATCTGATGCAATGAATTTCAGAGATTTTAAACACCACTAGGTGGCGCTGTAGGGCCTTAGATGCCCTGATGGGGCGACAAAGGGAATGTAACACTGACCAATACTGGTGTTTGTGTACAGTATGCATGAATACAATTGACCAAATAAAGTTGCTCCATAACAATAACATGCTCTAAATAGTATTGAGTGGATCTACAACTGCTAGGTACAACTACACATTTTGGGTAGGAAGCATTGCACAAAATTCTACACAGGATTGTGGGTGAGGATTTCTTTAGTCTCATCGCCTCATCATACATAAACTCCCTCAAGAAGAGAAACACTGACCCAGAGGTCCCAGTCCTGCACATGAAGCCCAGCAGAGCCGTGTCGACACACAATGGCCGGCCCTCGGGCCTCTTTTGTGGGACGGCGTGCACCAGCACACAATGATGATGCCGCTTTTGTTCCACACTGTCAAATAATGGTGTCACCTACTCACAAATGTCATGCTGATTTCTGCCGCAACGCCTGGAATAAACCCAGGCTGGAGACGGACAGCTCACACGACTGCTTCTGCTCGTTTCATTGCGCTTTAGTTTTAACCAAACACTACATACAAAATACAACAAACTCTGCATGACAAAGAGAAATCAACATTATCAGGTCTCATGAATATTTTTTTTTTAAAGTAGCATTTTCACTGGCTGGTTACTTGGGTGTTGCTAGGATGCTAGAATTCTCTGGGTGGTTGCCAGAGTGTTGCTATGCAGTTGTCAGGATGCTCTGGGTGGTTGCCAGGGTGTTGCAATGCAATGCATTGCATTTGCTAGGATGCTCTTGTGGTTGCCAGGGTGTTGCTATGCATTTGCTAGGATGCTCTTTTGATTGCCAGGGTGTTGCTATGCATTTGCTAGGATGCTCTGGTGGTTGCCTGGGTGTTGCTCGGCATTTTCTAGGATGCTCTGTGTGGTTGCCATATAGTTGCTAGGATGCTCAGGATGGTTGCTAGGGTGTTGCCGTGCATTTTCTAGGAAGCTAGAATGTTGCTAAGCAGTTGTCAGGATTCTCTTGGTGGTTTTCAGGGTGTTGCTATGCAGTTGCTAGGAGTGATCTGTGCGATTGACAGTATGTTGCAATGCATTTGCTAAGATGCTCTATGTGGTTGTCAGGGTGTGCTATGAATTTGCTAGGATGCTAGGATGCTCTTGTGGTTGCCAGGGTGTTGCTATGTATTTGCTAGGATGCTCTGGTGGTTGCCAAGGTGTTGTAATGGAGTTGGTAGGATGTTCTGGGTGGTTGCCTGGGTGTTTCTATACAGTTGTATGATATTCTTAGTGGTTACCAGGGTGTTGCTATGCAGTTGCTAGGGTGTTCTGGGTGGATTCACTCTGCCTGTGCAAAAAGTCAACATTGATTTGTTTTCATTTATGGGATGAATTCTTGGCTGAAAACTTGTTTACACCAGGTTAAGAAATACACTCAGACCTAAATTTTGTCCTTGAAGAGGATACAAATGTAACTACCATATTAATCCAACTACTTGCTGACTAAAGCACTCCAGTCAGATAGGAACATCTTAAAAATATCTGTAAGGTCGTGTGATATTCACAATGCGAGTTTAATTTCCAGACAGGCATATAATCGCAGCAAATCCCTTCCATCAAAACTCAACACCACGGCTCAGCAACAATAAACACAGAGCACATATTGTGGTTTGGCAAAAGTATCACTCATAAACACGTCAGCATAACTGCGAAATCTCAGGGGAAAACCAGAATGCTTCAGTTCAGATCCAGATTTAGTGTGTGAATCAAATGTATGGAATTTTCTAAAATATGGAATGAAATCGAAACTGATACTATTTTTTTCACGCATGTCATTGGTCTTATTATGACCATTTCATCAGTGCATTATTTTTTTTTTTAAGTAAATTTTTGACCTCGTAATCTTTAATCAAAATGCAACACTTACATTTCACAATACATTCCAAGTCTCACTCTGTGTTTTGTCATTTCACTGTCACATCCGATAGCAGAGTCACTAGCGTGTTCATATCATGCCGACTTTAAGAGCTTTTCTCTGGAATTGAAGAACGTAATTCAAGGTTGAAAATATCCTGCTCATCTTCTGGATCTTTATTTAAACAGGAAATCTAATGACAAGTGCTGCTAAAGCACACAGTGAGTTTGTGTCGTCTTCACTGACCTGAAACGGATTTAGCCCTTACGCTGAGTTACCTTTGGTGTTCCCGGGTCATAAATGAGCGGCTTTTTAAAAATGGCTTGTTATGCGATATTATCACCAAATAATATTAGATTAAATCTTTTTTAATCAATCGAACTGATTGATCGTAGGCCTCATTGATAAGAATAAAGTTCATCTCTGTGAAAAAGAGTGTGTGTGTGTGTGTGTGTGTGTGTGTGTGTGTTTGTGTGAGAGTGTGTGTGTGTACGTGTGTATATGAGTGAGTGTGTGTGTGTGTGTGAGAGTGTGTGTGTGTGTGTACGTGTGTGTGTGTGAGAGTGTGTGTGTGTACGTGTGTATATGAGTGAGTGTGTGTGTGTGTGTGAGAGTGTGTGTGTGTGTGTACGTGTGTGTTTCTGAGTGAGTGTGTGTGAAAAAGAGTGTGTGTGTGTGTGTGTGTGTGAGAGAGTGTAAGTGTGTGTGTGTGTGTGAGTACGTGTGTGTGAGTGTGTATGCGTGTATGAGTGAGTGAGTGTGTGTGTGTGTGTGAGAGAGAGAGTGTAAGTGTGTGTGTGTCTCTCTGTGTGATTGTGTGTCTTTATGAGTGTGTGTGAGTGAGTGAGTGTGTTTACGTGTGTGTTTCTGAGTGAGTGAGTGTGTGTGTGAGTGTAAGTGTGTGTGTGTGTGTGAGTACGTGTGTGTGAGTGTGTATGCGTGTATGAGTGAGTGAGTGTGTGTGTGTGTGTGTGAGAGAGAGTGTAAGTGTGTGTGTGTCTCTCTGTGTGATTGTGTGTGTCTTTATGAGTGTGTGTGTGAGTGAGTGAGTGAGTGAGTGTGTTTGTGTGAGTACGTGTGTGTGAGTGAGTATGCGTGTGTGTGTGTGTGTCTCTCTGTGTGATTGTGTGTGTCTTTAAAAGTGTGTGTGTGTGTGTGTGTGAGTGAGTGAGTGAGTGAGTGAGTGAGTGAGTGAGTGAGTGAGTGAGTGAGTGAGTGAGTGAGTGTGTGTGTGTGTGTATGAGTGAGTGTGTGTGAGAGAGTGTAAGTGTGTGTGTGAGAGAGAGAGAGAGAGAGAGTGTGTGTGTGTGTGTGTGTGTGTGTTTGTGTGAGTACGTGTGTGAGAGTGTGTATGAGTGAGTGTGTGTGTGTGTGTGTGTGTGTGTGTGTGTGTGTGAGAGAGAGTGTAAGTGTGTGTGTCTCTCTGTGTGATTGTATGTATTTATGAGTGTGTGTGTGTCTGTGTGCGTGAGTGTGTGTGTGTAATGTGTATATGTGTGTTTGCGCGTGTGAGTGTGTTTGAGTGTGTGTATCCACACATGCACAGGTCCGAGGCCTTTATGTTTGCAAGCACACACATAAATATGTGAACATGATGAACACACTCCTGAACACTAATTGAATTGTTCTCTTATTTTTGATCTCATTCATTTTCAACAGATGGTCATTGTGGAACACCACAAATGTAACAAGTTTGGGGGGGGGGAAATCCCAAAAAAGTACAAAAATTATCCCACGATTTTAGGGAAGTGTTAAACCCAGTGTGAGTTTTAGTGAAAATATCCTCTCCGGGTCAAAATGACTCAAACACATCATAAGGGTTACTTCTGTAATGTGACGTATTTCCAGTTAAAATAGGATATTCAAAAAGAAAACTTGGGGAAATGATTGCATGGTTTCTGAATTTGAAATCGCCTTCTGCCATATATGTATATATATTCTGCCAGTGTCTCTATGACAGGTGGTCGGACTCGGAGGAGACGTCAACTAATCAGCAAAGCAAATGAACCATCAAACCGGGTCAGTGTTGATGTCATGTGGACTTTAACAGGGAATCCTACCGTTTTATTCCCAGAGAGAGCGTCTTATGTGAGCTTTTAACCAGACAAATGGCCTCCAGTCTGTAACCGCTGAGAAGAACTGAGTTAACGCTGACTATCTGATCCCCGCTCCGGACTCGAGCCAGCGCCGCTCCACTTCCGGCCTCCACCTAAACAAACAAACACAACGAGTGTAAAACAAACATCAGCATCCAGCAGAAACATCTACATCTGCTTTCCACTGCAGTGCAAGAGTCAAAGCCTGATAACAGAACCAGGAATAAATGAAACCACCGGGTCTTTTCCTGCTCATCTTTGACACGTCTACGGTTATTTATGGAATATCTGTTTCCAACTTCCATGTTGGGAAGGATGTGGTTTGTGTTTCTGCTGATTGGAGATCTGCTGGAAGTTCTGCTTAGGAATGATATGTGACAGGAAAAATGTAGTCAACAACATTTATAACAAAAAAAACAAAAAAAATCTGGGTTCCATTTTAATGGTTTAATTTAATGTAATAAAAATTAATTATAAACAATACTTTAATATAAATCATATATATATATTACCAAATAATTCAGTGTTAATACTTTAATAATTAATCAAATGTATGAATTCAACTCTGATTTTTTATTATTTCAATATTTTATTATTTATAATGTTTAATTAAACCATTAAAACGGAATCCATAAAATTTAAAACTAAAATACAGATTTTTGGGAAATAAATAAAACAGATTTCATACGGCCCTATTTTTGTCAAGAGAAATGTAATGTTTAAAATGTATTAATACTTTTGCTTTTTGATGTTTTATTATATTTTTAATATATTATTATTTATAATTTGTATTAAATTTAATAAAACAAATTAAAAAGTATAAAATAAATACATACACATCATAATTTGATTAAAATAAATAAATAATTACTATATATTAAAATAATTCAATAATAAAATTTGATGAAATACAAAAAAAATTTGACAAATAAATATTACATCTAGCAGAAGTGGTAGAGAAATGTAAAAAAAAAAATCTTCTAAGTGATATTTACACATGCAAATGATAATATTAATACAGATTAAAATAAATAAATAAAAATTTGTAAAAAAGTATATCAAATTATATAAACACTTAGATTAAAAGAAACACAATAAATTAATATATTAAAATAAATTAAATTACTATTTTTAATAAATTAAATGTATATAATTAATTAAAATAAAATAAAATAATAAAACCAAAACTAAGCACAAAATACATAAATACATCTAACAGTACAGTACTATAGTGAGTAGGAAAAAAAAAAACTTAATGTAGGCCTAATCAAATTATTTAAAAAAAAATAATTTTCCAAGTAATATTTTACACATATCTATCATGTTAATTCTTCACAGTGTTTGTTGAGGACAGGACATGAACAACATCAACCCTACAGGACCATGTTGAGGACAGGACATGAACAACATCAACCTTACAGGACCATGTTGAGGACAGGACATGAACAACATCGACCCTACAGGACCATGTTGAGGACAGGACAAGAACAACATCGACCCTACAGGACCATGTTGAGGACAGGACATGAACAACATCGACCCTACAGGACCATGCTGAGGACAGGACAAGAACAACATCAACCCTACAGGACCCTGTTGAGGACAGGACATGAACAACATCGACCCTACAGGACCATGTTGAGGACAGGATTAAAATAAATAAATAAAAATTTGTAAAAAAGTATATCAAATTATATAAACACTTAGATTAAAAGAAACACAATAAATTAATATATTAAAATAAATTAAATTACTATTTTTAATAAATTAAATGTATATAATTAATTAAAATAAAATAAAATAATAAAACCAAAACTAAGCACAAAATACATAAATACATCTAACAGTACAGTACTATAGTGAGTAGGAAAAAAAAAAACTTAATGTAGGCCTAATCAAATTATTTAAAAAAAAAGAATTTTCCAAGTAATATTTTACACATATCTATCATGTTAATTCTTCACAGTGTTTGTTGAGGACAGGACATGAACAACATCAACCCTACAGGACCATGTTGAGGACAGGACATGAACAACATCAACCTTACAGGACCATGTTGAGGACAGGACATGAACAACATCGACCCTACAGGACCATGTTGAGGACAGGACAAGAACAACATCGACCCTACAGGACCATGTTGAGGACAGGACATGAACAACATCGACCCTACAGGACCATGCTGAGGACAGGACAAGAACAACATCAACCCTACAGGACCCTGTTGAGGACAGGACATGAACAACATCGACCCTACAGGACCATGTTGAGGACAGGACATGAACAACATCGACCCTACAGGACCATGTTGAGGACAGGACAAGAACAACATCAACCCTACAGGACCATGTTGAGGACAGGACATGAACAACATCAACCCTACAGGACCATGTTGAGGACAGGACATGAACAACATCAACCCTACAGGACCATGTTGAGGACAGGACATGAACAACATCAACCCTACAGGACCATGATGAAGACAGGACATGAACAACATCAACCCTACAGGACCATGATGAAGACAGGACATGAACAACATCGACCCTACAGGACCATGTTGAGGACAGGACATGAACAACATCGACCCTACAGGACCATGTTGAGGACAGGACATGAACAACATCGACCCTACAGGACCATGATGAAGACAGGACATGAACAACATCGACCCTACAGGACCATGTTGAGGACAGGACATGAACAACATCAACCCTACAGGACCATGTTGAAGACAGGACAAGAACAACATTGACCCTACAGGACCATGATGAAGACAGGACAAGAACAACATTGACCCTACAGGACCATGTTGAGGACAGGACATGAACAACATCGACCCTACAGGACCATGTTGAGGACAGGACATGAACAACATCGACCCTACAGGACCATGCTGAGGACAGGACAAGAACAACATCAACCCTACAGGACCCTGTTGAGGACAGGACATGAACAACATCGACCCTACAGGACCATGTTGAGGACAGGACATGAACAACATCGACCCTACAGGACCATGTTGAGGACAGGACAAGAACAACATCAACCCTACAGGACCATGTTGAGGACAGGACATGAACAACATCAACCCTACAGGACCATGTTGAGGACAGGACATGAACAACATCGACCCTACAGGACCATGTTGAGGACAGGACATGAACAACATCAACCCTACAGGACCATGTTGAAGACAGGACAAGAACAACATCGACCCTACAGGACCATGTTGAGGACAGGACATGAACAACATCGACCCTACAGGACCATGATGAAGACAGGACATGAACAACATCGACCCTACAGGACCATGTTGAGGACAGGACATGAACAACATCAACCCTACAGGACCATGTTGAAGACAGGACAAGAACAACATTGACCCTACAGGACCATGATGAAGACAGGACAAGAACAACATCAACCCTACAGGACCATGTTGAAGACAGGACAAGAACAACATCGACCCTACAGGACCATGTTGAGGACAGGACAAGAACAACATTGACCCTACAGGACCATGTTGAAGACAGGACAAGAACAACATCGACCCTACAGGACCATGTTGAGGACAGGACAAGAACAACATTGACCCTACAGGACCATGTTGAGGACAGGACATGAACAACATCGACCCTACAGGACCATGATGAGGACAGGACAAGAACAACATCGACCCTACAGGACCATGATGAGGACAGGACATGAACAACATCGACCCTACAGGACCATGTTGAGGACAGGACATGAACAACATCGACCCTACAGGACCATGATGAAGACAGGACAAGAACAACATCGACCCTACAGGACCATGTTGAGGACAGGACATGAACAACATCGACCCTACAGGACCATGTTGAGGACAGGACAAGAACAACATCGACCCTACAGGACCATGTTGAGGACAGGACATGAACAACATCGACCCTACAGGACCATGTTGAGGACAGGACATGAACAACATCGACCCTACAGGACCATGATGAAGACAGGACAAGAACAACATCGACCCTACAGGACCATGTTGAGGACAGGACAAGAACAACATCGACCCTACAGGACCATGTTGAGGACAGGACATGAACAACATCGACCCAACAGGACCATGTTGAGGACAGGACAAGAACAACATCAACCCTACAGGACCATGATGAAGACAGGACAAGAACAACATCAACCCTACAGGACCATGTTGAGGACAGGACATGAACAACATCGACCCTACAGGACCATGATGAAGACAGGACAAGAACAACATCAACCCTACAGGACCATGTTGAGGACAGGACATGAACAACATCGACCCTACAGGACCATGATGAAGACAGGACAAGAACAACATCAACCCTACAGGACCATGTTGAGGACAGGACATGAACAACATCGACCCTACAGGACCATGATGAAGACAGGACAAGAACAACATCAACCCTACAGGACCATGTTGAGGACAGGACAAGAACAACATCAACCCTACAGGACCATGATGAAGACAGGACAAGAACAACATCGACCCTACAGGACCATGATGAAGACAGGACATGAACAACATCAACCCTACAGGACCATGATTAAGACAGGACATGAACAACATCAACCCTACAGGACCATGATTAAGACAGGACATGAACAACATCAACCCTACAGGACCATGTTGAGGACAGGACATGAAGAACATCGACCCTACAGGACCATGTTGAGGACAGGACATGAACAACATCAACCCTACAGGACCATGTTGAGGACAGGACATGAACAACATCAACCCTACAGGACCATGTTGAGGACAGGACATGAACAACATCAACCCTACAGGACCATGTTGAGGACAGGACAAGAACAACATCGACCCTACAGGACCATGTTGAGGACAGGACATGAACAACATCGACCCTACAGGACCATGTTGAGGACAGGACAGGAACAACATCAACCCTACAGGACCATGATGAAGACAGGACAAGAACAACATCAACCCTACAGGACCATGTTGAGGACAGGACATGAACAACATCGACCCTACAGGACCATGATGAAGACAGGACAAGAACAACATCAACCCTACAGGACCATGTTGAGGACAGGACAAGAACAACATCAACCCTAC